ACCCCTCATTCATGGCATCGCCCCGCTTTTTCTCTAATGTTGAATAGGTCCTACCTATTCATTGCCTCGGGATACCATTGTGATTTACTCCATCTTCTTAAATCTTTAAACTAAGAGTATTATTCCATAACAAGGAATCCTCCCACTGCGCTTTATCAGACTGAAAGGTAGGTCGGCTTGCGAACACGGTGCCCATCGGTCTCATCACAGTGAGGTCCTCCCTCCCCCAGCAAAGCGACCCGGGTGGGCTTTACTTTTGAGCTTGTTTGACTTATTTGTATTTTCAAATTTTTTAAAAATAATAAGTACTTATTGGCTATGTTTTTTAAATAAATGAATAAATATGTGTACTTGTCCGTGTGTGACTATGTGTGTATTACTTCATGGAAGATTTCAAAGTAAATGAGTGAATAAAATATTGATTAAAAATGAAGAATCGGCTAGTAAAGGAAAGCTCACAGAGAGAAGAAACAGAAGGAAAGAAAAAAAGAAGAGGGAAGGAAGGGAAGGAGGATGGGAGGGAGGAAGGGAGAGAGCAGAGGGGAAGAAGAAAGGTTTAAGGAACTGGGATCCTTTTGCCTGGAGAAGACGAAGCTCATTGGACAATTTGCTCAAGGCAGATGCCGTGTCCGGTGTACGGCCCAGAGGGGGACGATCTTTCTGCTGAATGGGAAACCCTGATTAAGGGAGGCTGTGCTGATACGATCCGTGTCCTCGGTGCCCACAGCAGGCTGAGCAAGCACCTTCTGTTAAGGCAGGGGAGAGAGGGGCCAATTCACGGAGGCATTCAATAAGCAGATGACGAGAACAGAGAGGCGGTCCGACGTGACACGGTTCTGACCGGGGGAGCCTCAGAGGAGGAGACGCAGCCCTGTGTCCTAGAGATTTGGACCTTCTGCTCACCAGAAGCGGCAGATCGTCCCACGGTGCCCCTTCCAGCACTGTCAGTGAATTGAGGGAAGGAGTCCTGGTAATGCTCATGGAGGCAGAAAAGCGAAGGCACTCGACAGTCCATCCTCTCTTATTCTACACGAGGATGCAGACACCTGCGTCGGTGAGGTATTCCGACTCCTGGGGCCAGACCAGGGGTCAGAGAGGAGAGATCAGAGCAGCTGAATGAGGGGAGGTTGCCAGGAAGGGTTCTAGAAATGACTTTGGTGTCCCCAAAGCGATTTGGTTTTCCTGGAACCCCATAATCCCTGTCTCTGAGCCATGTTCTCCCTGAACCAGGCACCCTTTGAACGGCCATTTTTCTCTACCTACATAAATTCTGAGAGTCTGTTTTGAGAGCAAAGCAACGCAGGCAACCTGGCTTCACATCCTGGCTCTGTCACTTAACAGCTGTGTGACTTTAAGCAAGTAAAACAATATCTCCGGACTTCATTTTCTCCAACTGTAAAGTGTGGGTGATGATGTACCCACATGCAGAGGTGGTTGTGGAGTAAATAAGACAAGGCATGCCACAGGTCTAACACAGGAACCGGGACATAGGAATAAGAAACATTTGGGTATCGTTATCAATCAATCAAGTATTTATTAAACACCTTATACTGTGCTAGTTACCCTGAGAGACTTAAAACAAGATCTTCATGGCCAAAGCCAAGTAGATCATTCAGGCCAGAGCAAATATTTGTTTAGTACCCAACTCCATTTTTTAGTTCAAATACTCAGTACTGAAGTCGCCGGTCCCCTCTGTGCCTGGGACAGCATGGGCTCCATTAGCCTCAGCCCCATGGAGAGAGCACTTCCTTAGGACAAGACCCTGTGGCTGAGCCCTGTGTGAAGACACAAAATTGTTGGTTTCTGTCTTTGAGAGACACTTAGTCGAATTCATAACTCCAAGAGCCCTTAATTGGTTGAGTATAGTTCCTGCCCATCAGACAATTCAAATGCCAACCCAGGGTGTCTCCTCAGTTCCTTCCCACTTGAAATGCCAATGAAGCCAGAGAGGGTATGGCCCTGGCAGCTCTCTGCACAGCAGGGCTCAGAGTTCCCCGAGACAGATCCCCTTCCTTGTTTCCCTGGGCACCACAATTCCAACCAGAAGTCGGACGGGAGGGTTAGACAGGGACTCTTGTTTATTACTTATGGCAACACAGATGGCTCTCAAAAGGCAATAAGTCCCACTTTTTATTTTTTACATCATTGTACATTCATATGCAGTCATAAGAACTAACACAGAGAGGCCCTGACTCCCTTCTCTCATGACTACAGAGCAATGTCACAACCAGGAAGTAGACAAGATTCAATCAGTTTTATGGGCGTGTGTGTGTGTGTGTGCGTGTGTGTGTGTGTGTGTGTGTTTAGTTCTGTCCAATTTTATCACATGTGTAGATGAATGCACACACTATGGTAGTCAAGATACAGAACAAGTCCTCCACCCCTCCCCCACCCCCACTGCCTGTAACCGCTAATTTGTTCTCCACCTCTCTAATTTTTTCACTTCAAGAACGTTATATATATAGCATCATAAAGTATATACTCTTTTGAGACTTTTTTTTTTTCCTCAGCGTGATTTCCTTGAAATCCACCCACATTACTGAGTGTATCAATAGTTTGTTCCTTTTTATTGCTGAGTACTAGTCCATGATATGGATATACCACAATTTCTTTATTCATTCACCTGCCTAGATATATTTTGTTTTTTCTGTTTTTGGCTCCTAGAAATAAGGCTGCTGTGAACATCCGTGTACAGGTTTTTGTGTAAATAAACACTTTTGTTTCTCTGGGATAAATGCCCAAGAGTATAATTTCTGGGTTGTATGGTAAACATATATTTAGTTTTGTTAGAAACTGTTATGCTGTTTCCCAGAAGGTCTGCACCATTTTGCACACCCACCAGCGATGCCTGAGTGTCCAGTGTCCAGTTCCTCGCCAGCATTTGGTTTTATCACTACCTTTTGCTTAACCATTCTTATAAGTGTGTAGTGCTATCTCATTGTGGTTTTAATTTGCATTTCCCTGATGGTTAATGACACTCAACATCTTTTCGTGTGCTTATTTGCCATCTGTATATCCTCTTCAGTGAAAAAGCTGATGTCTTTAGCCCATGTTCTAATTGGATTGCTTGTTATTTTACTGTTTAGTTTTGGAAGCTTTTTATATATTCTAGATATGTCCTTTGTCAGATGTGTGGTTTGCAAATATTTTCTCCCAGTCTGTTTGTCTTTTCATCTTCTTCACAGGGTCTTGGAAGAGCAAACATTTTTCATTTTGATGAGATCCAATTTATCACGTTTTACTTTTCTGGGTTGTGCCTTTGGGGTCAAATTTAAGCCCTCTTTGCCTAGTCCTCGGTCCTGATGATTTTCTTCTGAGTTTTTGTTTTCTTTTTTTTAATTTTTATAGTTTAATATCTTACATTTAGGTCTTTGGTCCTCTTGAGCCGATTTTTATATAAGACATGAGAGGTATATAAAGATTCACCTGTTGTTTGTGGATATCCAATTGCTCTGGCCCCATTTAAACAACCCTTCCTTGAAAAGCAACTAGGTGACATTTATTGTGAGCCTAAAGAATGCCCGTAGGTTTTTCCCAGTCACTTCTGGGAATTCATCCTAAGAAAATGCAGAAACATGAATAAAAGCTGTAAGCTTGGAAAATAATCACTGTAACTTTTTTTTTTATAAAATTGGAAAATTGAAAGTCATCTAAATGCCCAAAATTAAGGAATTGGTTAAATATGGCACAGAATGAATAATTTGCAACAATTAAAAATATATTTACTCAATAACTTTCATCCATTCAATAAATATTTACCCGGTATCTCTATGGTTGGTGCTGAGGATAACACGGTGAGCAAATTAGACCCCATTCCTGCCTCTAGAGGTTCACAGTCTAGAAGGGAGAATAGAGGGAACAATTTTGCCGCTTGGAAAACTACATCGTAAACTTGGGGCAGTAACAGGACACAAACTTGTGTGACAGGTGATTGAAACAGTGTTAAAATGCGTGCATGTGGACAAGGCAGAAAAATGATCACTCTTTTATTTTTTATTTTTTTAATTAATTTATTTATTTTTGTTACAGATGTTTCTCCTTTTCCCCCCACTGATTCCCCCCTCCCCCTCCCTCCCCGCCCTGTCCCCAGCTTTGTTGTCCATGTCCATTGTTCATGCACACATGCATGTAAGTTCTGTGGTTTATCTCTCCCCCACCACCCCCTCTTCTGGGGATTGTCAGTCTGTACCCCACCTCCAGAAAAATGATCACTCTTTTAGAATGATTGGCTCAAGGGCGGGTTTTTTTTTTCCATCCTCTATTTTCCATACTTCCCATAGCACTTTCTCTTGACAGTAATAACAATGATAAAGAAAAAAACTTTCATTGAGAAATAGCTTCTTGCCATGAAAAGGTTAGGATGTGCATTTGAAGAGGCGACAGGTACACGTACAACCCAAAGGTCACGGGAAAGCCACCACAGTTAGGTTTCCCAACGCCTAGCTAGGTCATGCTGGGCGATTCAGCCGGTCAGCGAGGGTCAGTGGGGCATCTGCAAGGTGACCGGTATCACGTGATGCACTCAGTGTGCGGGCGAAGAAGAGCCAGTCCCTGCCCTCCATGGCACCTGCGAGGGACTCCAATCTCAATCTTCCTCATACTTGTTCAGCGCTTTACACTTTGTGGCTCATGCACCCCCTCATAGGACCCTCTCAACAAACCTGCAGAGTTGTTGGGGACGACATCATTATCTCCATTTGTCGGACACTGAGGCGCAGATGGCCTAAAGCCACGCAGATCAGAAATGGCAGGTCTGGGGATGGGCCGCGGTCCCCTACCTTTCAGGCCAGTACTGCTTTCAGAATCCGCAGCTGCCTCAAGAGCAGCTGTGATGACTGAGCTCAAGGAAGGCGGCAACCAGCAGTAGAGCAGGAGGATTCAACTCACGGGGAGGAAAGAGCATATACCTCTCCCCTGGCGCGCCTGGGGCTTGGGGGGGTCAAGGCAGAGAGGGGACCGTGATATGAACACCTGGGCTCACCTCTCCTCCCTCTCCCCAGATGGTGAAGGCAATCCAGGTCCTGAGAATCCACCTGCTGGAGTTGGAGAAAGTCAATGAACTCTGCAAGGACTTTTGTAACCGTTACATCACCTGCCTCAAAACCAAGATGCACAGCGACAACCTGCTCAGGAATGATCTCGGGGGACCCTACTCCCCTAACCAGCCCTCCATAAATCTTCACTCACAGGTAACACACAGGGCTGGGTCCTATCGCCTAAGCCAGGCTCCTAAGCCAGATGTAGGAATGTCTGAAGGTCCCTGGTGACCTAGGAGAGCGGATTAGACTCATTGAATCCTTTCACCAAGAGGGCCCTCCTGTTAGTCATCAAGCACCACAGTCCCTTTCTGACCACTGCTCACCATGACCGGGCGCTAGTATTGCCTAGAAGATGACCAGAGCTGAGAGGGACAGTGTCCTGGTGTCCTGGCCCAAGATACCTCAAGAAATGAGCGTATGTTAAGTGGATGGAAAGCCTTCATGGAGGATGAGGCAGGGTCAGAGCTGGGGGTGGATCCGGACAGCCCAGCCCCACAGACTGCTCAGGAAGGCTTGCTGAGCTCCCAGCTTTCCTGGGAGGAGGGTTTGGGGAGGTGGTCCCCCCCTGAACCCTGCCCACCTAATAGTTGAAGACAGCTTCCAATCGGGCTGCTTCTCCCTGGTCGTTGTCGACTTGCTTGTCCCGCCCAGGTACATCGGTCTCCCTAAGGTTCAGGGCCACTGTACAGGTCACCTCAAGTCACCGTTTCTCAAGCATCGCCTGCCACCTCTATCCTGAGAAATGTGGAAAACAGTGGCTGTGTGTCTTGAGTGGGAATGGACTCTCCAGGGCAGAATATTTTCCCAGAACCTACAAACTAAGAAAACTGCGTGGTGATACCTTTCCATCAAACTCACTGGGATCTACATAAGCCGTAGGCTCCCACTTTATTCCTCTCCCCCTGAGTTCCTGAGCCTCGGACAGGCTCACGGAGGGTCCCCAAGAGGTTTTCACTAGCCTCCGTGTCCCCTATATCAGGCTTGGGGATACAGGGAAACCTTCCAAGAATGACTGGCGAGAGATGCCGGAAAGAATGTCTAAGAAAGTGGTGCCGTTCCTAATTCCTAAGTTTTAAGGACCAACACATACAACCTAAGCTGGTAGAGGCAGGGGAAGGGACGGGGTGACCTCCGAAGGTCAGCCATGCCTTGCACGTTTGGACAAGTATCGCATCAAACCCGCCCCGGGGGATCTCTGTGGGACACGGCAGTGCACGGGACGCGAGGCAGGAAGTTTATTTCCTCTTCCCCTTGCTTGAAATCACCAAATCACTTTATCACAGGTCTGGAGACAGCCGCCCAGACTCCTGCTTGCTAATATTCTCTTGAAATAGACTCATTCCTTCAGAGTCTTATTGTACTTTCCCTTATGATCAAAATTAGCAAGAAACTTGCATAAAAGAGGACAATAATTGCTCAACGAGCATCTCGTTTGTAATTTATTAGTTTCTATTATTGTGGGTTACCATGGCGACGCCGCGCAGCCCGGGTGACGGGAGAGATGCGAGATAGGCGCCGAGGAGGCTGTGAGTCCTCACCAAATGGAGGTGCACATTTTTATCAGTAATTTTCATGAAAATAATAAGTGAGGAGTTAATGAGATGGAAAGCCATCCTGTGGCTATTGTGAATTTTTTTTAAGTGTTGATCTAATTAGAATGCATCGGTCAGGAAAAGTAATGAGGGTTTAGTGCCTCACAGAGATGTGAGGATCATATCAGAAAATTAGCACCAGTCTTTGGAAATAATCAGGTCCTTGGAGAGGTGCCGGATTTCCCCTCCTGGGCCCTCCGACTCTACCCGAGCTCTGGCGTTGGGGGTATACCAGGGTGGCCAGGGGCCTTAGCAGTCACAGCGGCCCCTCAGGGTTGGGGTCCTGAGGCTGACAAGTGTGTGTACAGCAGGGCCGCTGGAGACTCGAAGCCGGCAGAGATGCCCGGATGAGCGAGGTCTCAGAGATGCTGACTGGAAAAGCCAGTCCTCCTGGGAGCCCTGCATTCGGGGCCTCGGAGACCCAAGGAGAGAGGAAAGAACTTTGATTCCTATCATGACCCAAATCAGATCTCTGCCTGACCACAAAACTGGCTCTAGGGGGCCACTGCAGAAATCTCTGATCCACTTAGAAAGGAATTAGACAATTGGGTAAAAACAAAGACACCAGGGAAGAGAGGAAAAGACAGTCAGAGGTAATTCCCGAACTTGGCCTTTCATGTCCACGGACGGCCATCCCCTGCTTAGTTCAGGCGTCAGTGGGTATATAAATAAGGTGATTGCACACAGGGCTTCTGTGTGTGCTGCCAGGCATCTTAACCTGCTCTTCTGCCCGCTCTGGGCTGTCCTCAGCCTCCTGCACACACACACACACGCACACACAGTCACACACACGCACACACAGTCACACACACCCCTCTTAAGTTTCTACGGCTGGGTTATCTTCCTAGCACTCTATTCATGTCATTCTCCTGCTCAGAAACTCGGCTTGCCCCCCAGAGTTCACACCCTTCCCCTCACTCAAGGCCCTGCCACAGCACCATTCCCCGTGCCCATCTGTTTGGGTGAAGCCCACACATCTCTGCAGAACCAAACCCAGCCTCTTCCCCCAGGGCAGTAGGAGGGCTGCTCTCCAGTGGAAGCTCCGGGTACTCCACCCAGAATGGACGGACCTGCCTTTCTCTCCACAATAGCGCGCGCTCTTGGGGCCATTCTTACAGTACATGCCCCCTGTGACTTTATGTTATCGTCACTTGCGTACGCCTTGTGTTCCTCCCTCTCCTAGGTGACAAGCATTATTTGAGTAGAGACAGCATTTTAGGTAGTATTAGAGCACACGCCCAAAGGTGGCTATCTCAGCGCCTCGTGCACGAGAGGCAGCCAGTACATAGCTGTCAAAAGAAGTAATATGATGAGAAAGATGGAGAGCGAGACAGACAGGCAACAGGAAGCCGGAGGAGAAAGGAGAAATAGAAGAAAGGGAAAGAAAGACAGATGGCGAGGGATTTGTGCATGAGGGAGGCGGAGCCTCGGAGGACCGGGAGGAGTTGGAGGACTGGAGGTAGCTGGACAGACGCAGACCTGGGCAGGGAGTGAGGTGGGGAAGGGCGGAGGCAGAAGGGGTAGAAGGAGAGCTGGACGCGGATCAGTGCAAAGTCTGAGGTGTACAGAGGAGGTGAAGGCGAGTAGCACATGGGCTGTCCCATCCCTGTCCCTGGTCAGGCTCCTGTCATTATCTCACGGAGGTAGGCTGGGGGCCTTCCAAGGAAAGGAGAGACCCTGGGCTCCCAAGAGACTTTCCACTGCAGGAAGCAGGCTTCAAGATCAGGGTACAGCGACCAGCACAGAAAGGAGAGAGAAAAGAGTGTCATTTGTGTGCGCATGTGTGCAAACATGCACGTGTGTGTGTGCATGTGCGTGTGTGCGCGCATGTGTACACATTCATCATGGTTCGATCTTAATCCCCCCAGCCTGAAATAGCTTCCCTGAGTGCCAACCCGGCCTGGGGAGGGGTGTCTCTCCTTTGGAATATGATCCGCAGGATCAACCTTCCAGCAGCTTTGTTGCAAACTGCTGGCTCATGGTTTTCCTCATGTGCTAATCACTCAGGCTTGTGTTGCAAAGTAGATGTTTTTAATTCAAATGAGTCCCCCTCCCCACCTCCTGAGATATCATCCTGTGTCCCCATCCAGCTCTATGGGGTCAGGGCATGTTCCCTGCTTGGTCTTCCTTTTTTATCTGTGAGCTTTCTCTTTGGGGGTGCAACAGGGATACGGAGTGGGGGAGACTGCTTCTGAAACAGTTTCGAGGACTCGGGCCACAGCCCAGCCCGCTCCTCCATGTCCCGGGGAAACCGGTGCCTAATAACACCTGCTCCAGACTCCTCAGAGCCCAGGCTTTTTGCAGGGGCACATCCTCAGCAAGAAGGCTCCTGTTAGACTCTGGCTTGGTTCTTCTGTCTTTATCTAGATGTCACAAGCTAAGCCATTCCACTAGAGAGATCTAACTCCCCCCTCGCCCAAGTATTCATTTGACCTGAAATCCATCCTTCTGTCTCCATGGAGATTTAAATCTCAGCTCTCTGCCAGGGCAAACTGGGCTGAGCCACAGTTCTCATTCAGTCGCCAGGCATTGGTGGGGCACTCACTATGTGCACCATGCTGAGTCCTATGAGAGCACAACTGAATTGAGCGGGAGAAGCTTCCTGACTCAGTGACAAGGGCTATGAGTCACACCTGAAGGGCTATCTATGTGAGCCATAGAAGGCTCAGGGTCAAGGGAGTACCGAGGAAGGGCAGTACCGAGGAAGTACAAAGTAGAGATGGGAGAGGAGCTGCAGAAAGGAGTCTGGATTGAGCAAACCACGTGTGTGGCCTGAAGTTGCCCAGCCATCACTCAGCATCCTTCTTCCTCCCCCAGGGGAAGCCCAGGCACAAGATGCACACCCGTGCGGCCAGGGTCGGTTCACCCTCCCAAGGACAAAACGAACAAACCCCTGTGTGGAGTAGATGGGCGGCAGGAAGATTTTGCCCTTTGCGATTGGAGAAGCAGATTCACTGGCCTTGGGAGGACTTGCTAGGGGAGGGGGCATTTCAAGCAGGCATTTTGCCGGGGGGTGGGGGGGTGGTTAGTAGACTATCTGGGATCTCTGAAGGTGAGTGTTCCCAGTATAGAGAAATCTGGGGGAAGGTAGGGACAGAAACAGCCTTTCGGACCCCCTGGAGAGAAAGAGCAGTCACTCATGCGTGAGGCATCTATTCAAGTACCTATTGAACCCGCTGAGTTCCAAGGATATAAAAACGGCTATGACACCATTTCTGCAGCTAAATTTGGGGATGGGGTATGCTTTGAAGCTAGCAGTGATGTCCAGTTGTTGCCTGGCGAAAACGGGGTTCTTTCACGAAGCCATGAGAAAGCACCACTGGGGACCCACGCATGGGAGGCTGAGGTGTTGCGGTGAGATTTATTGGGATAGAAATGGAAGGCTGCCCCCAGGTTCCCGGTGTCTCATCTCTGTCCTCCTCTGGTAAAAGTCCAGCCTTGTCTTCATCACGCCTGGAAGAAAGGCCAGGATCCTACAGTTCTGTGTCCTGGGTTCGGTCTTTGTCCCATCCGGCTGGCTCAGTCTCTGTTCCTGGCTGAGCTCAGACAGGCGCTGCA